GGGGGGGGGGGGTCGTCACAGAGGGAGAAGGAGACTTGGTAAAATGTAGTGGCCTGTTATATACAGAAGGTCAGACTAGGAGGATCTGTTGGTCCCTTTGAGCTATAAAAACCCCTATGAACTGAAAAGAAAATTATAAGTCACTGCTGATTTTATACCAGAAGGTAATCAATACAGCAACTGCACAGGATAAAGATGGATTTTTGTTTAAGGTAGTTTAGTTAGTCCCAATAGCCTCCGAATGCCCTGGTCTCCTCTACAGCATTATGGCATCAAGGCAAGACATTTCTTGGGTTCCAACAAATTCTTCATGGTACAAGGCAATGCTCAGGCCAGTCAGACTTACTAAGTTTCATTTCTATATGTGGAGAGAAGCCTATACATAAAAGATGTTATCCAAGAACCTCTTTTCTGGCAGAACAGAAATATGGGTTGATGTGCCTTCCACTATGCTTCAGCCAGAGTAGAAGTGCTCACTCCATCACCCAAAACCAAATAGCAAGAGAAGGGTAACACAAACACAAAAACAAACATCTTATTTACAACAGGAACAAAAGGTTTTCCCTGCAGACTAGCTTCATTGCTAAGTTTTCACCTTTTGTTCAGTTCATCAAGCCAAACTATTATCTGAAGCATACCATGAAGTAATCTATTTACATATTTATGCTCAACCTGTCTGCTAAACTGAATGCTTATGCAGCATCTATCTGAAGAAAGAACTGTTGCTAATAAAAAGCTTTAAGTAAACAAGTAAAATCTCAATTATACTGTTAAAATAAAAAACTTGTGTGTCAGGCAGTGGTTTAGGAAAGCATATTACCATTTCCAGGAGTGTTGGACGACGTTTAGATGGTACTGCGAGAGACTTCTTTCCCCGTTTATTAGAACCTCTGTAAGCCCCCGTGTTTGTATTTGAGTTTCTTAATGTTGCGCTTATACACTTTGTACGTTCTTCATGGTTCACATTATTCAGACTGTGAGGTATATTTGAAGCCTGGGGAGCATTTCTCAGCACGATCTGGTTTTCCTCAAGAGCTTTAGTTACAATCTTGACAGGAACTTCTAAGGAAATAGAACAAAATGGTAAGCTCTCAAAAAATCTCAAATGCCTCAATTGATACTAATATATCCCATTTTTGATAGATTACCAGTTACCATCCTAATACTAACAAGCTGCGATTTAAAGGCGCTCGAGACAGTTTTTACAAAGCATGGTATCATATCACCTATTTACAGAAGGTGCAATAGCAAATGCAGAAGTTAGGTGCTTTGGCCAATATCAGAAAGACCCCAAGAGCAAAATTCTGGAATGGATCTTTGTTCCTTTTGCAGCAATACATACCGGCAAGGAGGATGAATGGCCCAGGGACTGAGGTGCTACTTAAGACACAGGAGACCAGAATTCAATTCCCCGTCATGTCTAATTCTCTGTGTGACCTTGGGCAAACTACTTCATCTCTATGCTTTAGCTCCCTCTTTGTAAAACTGGGAGCAACCACATCTCTCTACCTACTTTAAAGAATTGCAAGCAATTTACTTGTTCTTCAGCATTGACTGAAAGAACACTTTCTGATTTTTATTCCTTTTGGACAAGCTAATGGACAGTGACTTTGAGGGAAGTCACTGAAACATTTATGTAGATAAATCACGGCTTGTACCCTAAAGTGTGTTTACTGTTCTTTTTAGGCATCTGTTTTAATACAATTATGTGGTTGTGCTAATCCAATTTAAAAACAAATGAACAAACCAACCGATTAGCAGCCATTCAGTATCATAGTGGGTCTTGTAAAAGGATCTCTACCTCGAGCTAAAGCATACACACAAATATTTTCTTGTACACAATACGCCCCAGAATATAATATACACTTTTTTTTTCCCAAAGGCAGAATGAAGTGAAAAGATTTTTCTTCACAGAATGTGAATAGCAGCAGCTAGGGAGTTAAACCTGCTCTTGTTCTCCTCCCTGTGGATACATGCAGATTTTACTTTGTTTCTGGTAAGCAGCACAACCTGCTCTTACTGTCTCCATCACATATAATGTAAATTTTAATTTCCTGCAGCTGTTTTTTTTTTTTTGTTTGTTTGTTTGTTTTTTGTTTTTTAGCAGGGAAGAGGTGTGTACTGTATGCAAGAAAATACGGTATTGCATCTTGAAGCACTACGAAGGCAAAGTTACATTGCCCCCAAGAATATCTAGTAGGTGCCTTCTCTAGAAAGTGTTAAAACCTTGGAGATTAGTGAAACCAGTTAGTGTCCTCATCCAACATAATTTTACACCAAGGTAGAAAGAAGGCTAGGTTCTCACCTACATGCCTCTGAAAACTATACATCTTAAACAGCTCAGGAACAGGCTGACCCCAAAGGCAAATCTAATCTCCATGTTCAGATTGAGATACCAGGAAAAGGCAGATATCAGGGGGCAACCCCTCTCCCACCACCAAACAAGCATGCCACATTTAGAAACTTGAGTGTCATATAGTATTTATTAGCAGACAGACTAAAAACTAGATGGACCATGAGGCTGACCCAGTACAGTACCTTTGATGCTCTCAGTCAGTGAACCCTAAGTGGGCAAACAATGTACTCTGGGTGCTTCTTTTGTATAATGTGTTCTCTCCTCTGGCAAGCTACCACTGGGGTGCCTGTGCCTGCCCCCCACCTCCCAAAGGAGGAAAAAAAGGCTCATTAAGCACCGACTCACCTTCTGGCTCACTGTCACTATCCGTTGCACTGCCATAATTAGCCACAAGTGAGCTCAGGGCTGAGGTTACCTGCTTTGGAATTACAGTTAGTCCCACCTTTCCATCCTCCATGGCTGTTTCATCCTTGTCAGATTCTGCAAGAAAGTACTGAGATGTGTCAGTGATCCTTTCTATAAACAGCCATCTTTATCACTCACCCTGCTCTCAAATAACAAATACCTGCTACAAGTGTCAGACAGGCTGCTCAGCATCCTGGTTTGATAAAATACATGCCTACATACTTTCCATAAACATTCAGAGGCAGAGTTGTTTAAACACTGGTTTACAGTCCTGACAAAGAGACTAAAAAGGAAAAACAGCTTGACTTCCCTGAACAAAAGCTTGGGTTTTTGGCTCCGTCTTCATAAAGTCAATTTAATTACATGTTATGTTATTAATTGCAGGTAGCAGACAGGGAAGAAATGTTTTAGTCTTACTTGATGTAGTCCAGTGAAAGATATGTTCAGACTTTAGTTGTTTTCTGGAGGAGAATTCACATTTAAAATGAGAATTTCCAAGAGAGAAAAATCTTTAGGGGAGTAGAGCTATTTTTAGAGAATATTCAGAATCAAAGCATATTAGCTATATATAATGCTTTAAAAAGCAAGATCTTGCTGTTAAAAACAGTGCAACACAATGCCAGGCAGCTGAAATGTGAGATAAAGGGATCAACATCTGAGAAATGGAGCAAAAACTACTAAGAACGCCCAAAAGTAAACATGCAAAACCACTGATAATCTTATTTAATATGGAGGACCCATACATAACAATAGATCACTTCATTTAGAGGAATCTCAAAAGTGTCAGCTAGGAGGAGAGATATGACATGTTCTTTTATAAACGATTCTAGATACAAATTTTGGGAAACATTAAGAGAACCCTATTAGGAACACCATCAAAATGGTTTCTGCTGAGACTGAATGGAAGCCTGGTTGTAGGTTGAACTATTAATTAAAAAAGAGCAAGATATTTTCCCAATTACAGGAATTGTACGATACCTCTTTCACTGCCTTCAGCCATAGGAGTTACTTACTTCTAGAAATACACTTTAAAAACTGTACTTGGAGTTGCTGTTAGCCTAACAGGAACCGATGTCATTTGGTTAAGTAAAACTCAGGTGGCAGGAACTTAATTATTTGGGGGAGCGCGGGGGAGATTTTAATCTCTCCTTTTTTTTGTATTTTATCATCCAGAAGAAATAGGCAGCTTCTCACTGGCGGGCAACTATAAAAACATGTCGACTCGCAACTACCTTAACCTTTATACCAAATTTAGCACTTTATTTTTTTATTTTTTTTTACTAATATTAAGATGTGTTAATTTTACCAACATTAAAAATGCTCAACATTTCTAGATGAAGTTTTACTTGTCTCAAGCTAAACTGGGATGAAAACTGAAATTCAGTTAAAAAGCATCTAAAAAACAGCTTTTGAAAAATTTTATACAAAATACTTGAACTGCAGGAGACACGGATTTTGGTGGGTGACATCTTATTGAAACAACTGTATCAATAAAAGATATTATCCACAGAAATCCTTTCCTCTTGCATATTTCCTGGACCATCACAGCCACAGTTCCAGTACTAAATACATATAAAATGTTTTTAAGGTATACATTTTCTATTTAAAACCATCTATTAAGATAAAGGAATTATTATGTTTAGTTAGTGAAACAGACTTTCTGGCCACCTAGATATTAGTACAATAGACCTCATCTTTTCACCTTGTTTTTATTCACAGATTGGAAGAGGAAAACAAAATTTTCCTGTTTCTTCACCTCCCAGCTAGTTTCTCCACTTCAAATGAAGTGCTTTATTAAACCAAGGTGAAACATATATTCTGTCTGCAAAAGAGCTACTGCTGACAAAAGCAGGCTTGACAGTTCAAGAAACTCTAGATTCAGATGCTTAGTGAATTGTACCTGTTCAGTGGTTTGGCTTTCTTTATAGGAACTTCAACAGCAAGCACAAACTGCTGGAATAATATTTTCAATAGATCAAATTAAATATGACCCTGCCACCTAGAAGTGGAAAAATATATCCAATCAGTTGATTTTTTTCAATGTATAGCATTACTAACTTGACAAGTAGTAATTGACAAAACATTCATTCTCTTGAATTATTGGGATTTCTATCCTGCAGTGGGATACAAAAACTAAAGGAAACCAAAACCACATTTGAGCAGTTTGACAGTCTATCAAATGGGATTAGTGGAATATACCAAACTCTCAATAAACCTATGGGGAAAAATGTTTTCTATTTTGAGAGACAGAGCTCAAGCTTCTTGTATTGTCAAAAAACCTATTTATATGCCATACCAAGAGTGCTATATCAGTGCAGACAGAATAAATAGCCATATAGTTCAAAAGTTATACTGCTCCCCTTCTACAGGAAACATTTTTTAAGATCAAGTTTTGTCACTTTTCCTTATATTGCATTCATCCTTAAACTTCTAGGCTCTCAGTCCTGCAGTTTGGGATTCAAAACATGGTAAAGACTATTCCATGGTTTTCAAGAACAAGTTCCAGCGTGCAAACATTTCTAGTCCTATTTGGATTTATCAAAAATAATTTTTGTAACGGTTGGTTTTAGGTTGCATTTAATTTGCCACGATTCCTTTTAAGCTACTATGCAATATTTATTATGCAACATGTAACACTGCGCACAAACTTCTACTTGGCAGGGTTTCCAAAACCCTGACCATCAGGCAGGAGTTTCAGTATCTAAATTTAAACAACTCAGATTCAATTTCTTAATTCCTCTCTTGTTGCATTCCACTCACTGCACTGCTCTTCTTCTAAACAGAAACGCAGGCAAGAAATGTCACTGGTTATTGCCACAGCACTCAAGGCAGGAAAAAAGAGAAGAGGTTTGCTTTAAGTTAAAAAAAGAAAAAAAAAAAAAAAATCAAAGACCAGCACTGCACATGTTAAATGTCTGTTACACTTATTTTCAATGTTACAGTAATTTCCAGAAGTACCTTCTGCTGAAACATCTTATCTAACATTAGAAGCAAATTGCATCTTTGGGCCAAACAGCACTTTTTAAGGTTTGCTTTTTTTGTTCCAAGATCTGAATAAACAGGTATTTCCTAATCTTTTGAAATTACAGGTAGCATAAAGCTATTTATTAAATGTTTAAGCACTTGTGTGTAAAATGGACAGAATTTGACTGTTCTTTTTTAGTGTGGGGAAATATATTTTTACTCATCAGCTAATAGTTCATTATTTGCTTAAAGCTTGTAAGCATTAAGCATATATCTTTATGTACACCAGTAAAGTTCACATTTGACATCTTGCCTTCTCTACTCCAACCCCCTCCTCTGCTCTTTTACTGCCATCTTGGATTTTCAGGAAATTCTTAAAATCAAAGTGTGCACTTGATATTTATAGCAATACAGATAAAAAGACTAGGAAAATAAAAGGTACAGAGAATGGTCTCTCTTTCACAAGTATGTTTACTGAATAGTCAGACTAGCCTGCACTTGAAATCTGTGACACTACTGGCACTACTGAGGGTGCTTCCTCTGCCTAGAATCTTATCTGTTGATTTCTTTCCAAATTACACTCCTTACTTTTCTAAAACTCCTTCTCTTCATTACCTACTACATTTCTTTTTTCTTCAACCTCAAATGCCAACCAAGCGAGAAGTTTCAGCTTTTCTTATTAGCCGGTACAGGTCAGCAGAACCTCCAAAGATCTTGATCTATTATTTTCTCTCTAACAGGTTAATTCTGCTCAGCTGGAGATTTCCTGAGCCCAGGACTTCTAATACATTGCCTCAGTCTGCACAGTTCACCCTCCATAATGCTCATATTGCATTTTTTCCCTGAGAAAGTTCATGTTCCTAGCCAGGATGCATCTGAACAGGAATTTCCATCCAAAAGGAAATCCTAATGAGGGTTTAAAGTACAAGGACATACAAACAACCAGACAGCCACAAATTTACGACCCATTGATGCTTAAGCTGGCATGACCACAGGGCAGGAAGAGCCCCAATAATGTAGCAAAGTGACAAAGAGAAGACTTGCAGTTGAGTGGCAAAGAGGCTGTCCCTGCTGCCCTCTGCCAAATCAAGAGGAAAGTGTTACAACCGTTTCTGTGAGCATAGGTCTTCCTAATAAGTGCAAGCTGTCTCAGAACCCAGCAAACAAGTTCTGATCAGACCTCCAGCTCTTCTAAGAAGCTGTTACCTAGATCAGGGGTTGGAAACTTTTCGCCAGCAAGGGCTACTGCTTGAGACCCAGCCCAAACCCTAACTAACTGTCTTTCTACCCCCTCCACCTCCTGTGATGATCAGCAGATCCTGTGGAAGGAACAGATGGAAGAGGGCAGGAGGTAGGATCCTGGGGATGCCTCCTCTACTGCTCTGGCTGGACCATACTGCTGATTCCCCAACCTGCTGTGAGCTGGATCCAAGTCTCATCACAGGCTGGATTCAGGCTGTGGACCACAGATTGCCGCCCTGCCCCAGGTGAAAAGCAAGAGTAATTTCCCTAGCTGTGATGTTTAAAATAAGATCTCAATTTTCTTTGACTGTTTTTCTTACCAGCATCACTATTAGCCAGAATGCTAAGTGGATCCACATCCTTTGCACAAGCCTGGGCCTCTGAAACAGGCTGTTTTTTAGGTTCCTTCTGAAATGCATGCTCTTCCGATCTATTGGCTGCACTTTGTGCCTTCTGTGGTGATGCATTAGCACCTTCACCACTTTTCTTAAACTTTTTCCAGAACTGACGCTTCTGCTTTCTCTTCTGTTTTTCCTGCTGCCCTGATGATTTTTCTTCTTGAGGAGCTTTCCACATACCCTTCATTTTGCTGACAGAAAGAATTGCAAAGATATCATACAAACAGTATAGGAGAAGGAAAGAAAACAAATCAAAGCAAAGAAAGAACTGTGTTCTAAAGGAAACGAGAGATTAGAGGAACAACTTGTCCTTCAACAAAATCTGTGCATTTCCCCTCTCATGTGCCACAGCACTTAGTTTCCCCAAAACTCAGCATATTGGGAGTTGAATATAAATTTACTAGAATATCTATTATCAACCTCAAAGCATTTTATTTGTGGTTTAGGAGTTTTACTTGGTGACTAGCCCAATGAACTAAGACATGATGGAAGGAGAAGAAAGTTCAACAGGCTACCAACATGAAAACAAGGCATGAGGGCACATTTCATGGCCACCAAGGCTGAAACAATTTTTCATCCCACATCATAAAGTCAATATCCCCCTCATTTAGTAAGGCCATTCTCAAAAGGCAGAATAAAAGAGAAAGGAAGAGATCTGTTGCTACCACATTTCCTCAACTGAAGTCACCCCTTTAGTTAGTTCTAGAATATATTGTTACAGTGCTATGCAAAATCCTAATTTCTTAAACAGATCAGACCAGCCCAATTGCTATGTCAGCTTAATCCACTGAGGACTTGTCTCCTTTCAAAAGCATGTGCATTTTAAGGAAGGGGAAGTAGAAAATAAAAGATAGGCTATTAGTGAGAAGAAGGAAGTTCTCTTCCTTTACAGCAGAAGGTTTCAAGTTCTAATCAGGGAACCATGAAGTTGTGCTTTCAATGAAAGCAAACTATGGGGACAGCCAATTCTATGAATCATAAGGATTAGTCCATATTGTAAGAGGAATCTCAGAAGATCCCAGCAAAAGCTAAAACTGGTCTCTAAAAAAAAAATACAAGCTTGAGAACATGGTGAAATGTTTTGCACATATCTGAATGTGGCTACAGTGAGAAATTAGGTATACAAATAGTAAGTTGTGCCTACGAACAGCATTTCTTCCAAGTGAGTTACTTTGGCTACTGACAAAAAGATTAACTACTGTCAGCACCTCCAAACACTTAGAGCAGGGCTGCTCATCCTCAGACTATTTGGCAAAACGTGGCTGGCAGCATCTTGGTATCCAGCTCATAGGGCTCACCACCAATTGGGAAATTTAGCCATGGGGGAGGGGTAGCAGGTAATATTGCCACTCTCCACTGCTGCCAAATGCTCAAACCCCAAGCTCTGGAGTGGGTTAAGGCCAGGCCATGACCCCTTGCCCCATTCTTCCCCCCCACATGGCCAGGCTACCCTTGTAGGGCTGGGTTGGGGCTGAGATGCTCCCCACCCATCTGCACTGCCAGCTGAGGCCCTGACTCCCATCTGGGGTGCTGGACTGGGACCACAAGCCAGACCCAGCCCATGCACAGACCAGGTACCACCCATCTGGCCCATGGGGGTGGGGTGGGGAGAAAAGATTAAGTACCACTGCCTTAGAGGAATGCAAGATCCTCCCCCTCTACGCGACACTGGTCAGGGCACAGCTGGAGTATTGTGTCCAGTTCTGTGCGCCCCATTTCAGGAGGGATGTGGACAACATGGAGAGGGTCCAGAGGAGGGCCACCCGCATGATCCGGGGACAACAGGGCAGACACTACAGTGAGAGACTGCGGGACCTGAACCTATTCAGCCTCCACAAGAGAAGGCTGAGGGGGGACCTGGTGACTGTCTATAAACTCACTAGGGGGGACCAGAAGGGTTTGGGGGAGACGCTGTTTCCCCTAGCGCCCGCTGGCATAACAAGGAGTAATGGGCACAAGTTGATGGAGAGGAGGTATAGATTGGACATCCGCAAAAACTACTTCACAGTTAGGGCGGCTAGGAGCTGGAACCAACTTCCAAGGGAAGTGGTGCTGGCCCCTACCCTGGGGGTCTTTAAGAAGAGGCTGGATGCCTACCTGGCTGGACTCATTTGAGTCCCATTTTTGTTTTGGGGTTTTGTTGTTCTCCCACCCTGGCAGGGGGTTGGGCTAGAAGATCTACTAAGTCCCTTCCGACCCTAAATCTATGAAACTATGAAGAACTTCCATGCCAGAGTGGGCCAGACAGCTCATTTTGCTCAGTTCCCTTTCATCAATGCACGTACAGTGAATGAGAGGTCCCTTTGTAATACTCAGGCAGTTGTGCAATACCAAGCCAGGAACCAAAAGGAAAAAAAAAAAAAAAAATCTCTGAATAGTTTCAGGGGAATTGGAACAAAACCCTCAGTTCTGATAGAGATTTCCTATGACACTTCAGGCAAGTTGCTTAATCCATCTGTGTATCTGCTCCCCATCGATAAAATGGGAATATTACTTTCTTCCAAATTTGTCTTTAAACTGTAACCTCTGTAAAGCACGTGTTTTCCGTGCATTTGTTCAGCACTTCGCATCATCCTCTTGTACAACACCAGGAGGTTAAAGAACATTGTGATGGGGCAGTTGCTATCTTTGATCTATGGACACTAAAAACCTGTAACAATTCTCAAGAATTCCTGGGGGCCTTGTCCTGCAAGGCCCGCAGGAAACGTGGGGCCCTTGCAGGACAAGACAGGGAATCTGGTTGTCACACCAGATGACAAAGCCAACATATTTAATAACTTCTTTGCCTCTGTCTTCCTCAGTAAGGACCAGAACTGCCACCTCCCTGCTGGGCCCCCTTCGGGCCCCGGGGGAGGCTCACCTGGGCCTAGAGTGAGTGAGGATTTAGTTAGGGAGCTTCTGGAGGGGCTGGACATTTTTAAGTCAGCCGGCCCGGATGATCTTCACCCTAGAGTCCTAAGGGAACTGGCTGGGGTCATTGCAAGTCCCCTGGCGCGGCTTTATGAACACTCGTGGTGCTCTGGAGAGGTGCCGGAGGACTGGAAGAGGGCCAACGTGGTTCCCATCTTCAAAAAGGGGAGGAAAGAGGACCCGGGGAACTACAGGCCAGTCAGCCTTACCTCGATCCTGGGCAAGCTGTTCGAGAAAATTATTCTGGCACACATCCAGGAGGGGCCAGCAGGGAACGGCATGCTCAGGGGCAACCAGCACGGGTTCATCAGCGGCAGGTCCTGTCAGACCAACCTGGTGGCCTTTTACGACCAGGTCACTAAATCATTGGATGCAGGGGTGGCAGTGGATATAGTTTTCCTAGACTTCAGGAAGGCTTTTGATACTGTCTCTCACCCCATTCTCATTAGGAAGCTGGGGGACTGTGGCGTAGACACCCATACAGTCCAATGGGTCGCCAACTGGTTAGAGAGTCGCACCCAGAGGGTGGTAGTGGATGGGTCCTTCTCGACCTGGAAGGACGTGGGAAGTGGGGTCCCACAGGGCTCGGTCCTTGGGCCCGCCCTGTTCAACATCTTCATCAGTGATTTGGATGAGGGGGTGCAAAGCACCCTGTTCAAGTTTGCTGATGACACTAAGATGTGGGGGGATGTGGGCACAATAGAGGGGAGCAACAGGCTACAGTTGGACCTAGATAGGTTACAAGGATGGGCGGAGGAGAACAGGATGGGGTTTAACACAGACAAGTGTAAGGTGATGCACCTGGGGAGGAACAATCGGCACCACACATACAGGCTGGGGAACTCCCCTCTTGTCAGCACGGAGGTGGAAAAGGATCTGGGAGTCATTATTGACTCCAAGATGAACATGAGTCGGCAATGTGGGGAGGCGGCTAGGAAGGCCAACTGCACCTTGTCGTGCATCCACAGATGCATCTCGAGCAGGTCCAAGGAGGTGATCCTCCCCCTCTATGCGGCACTGGTCAGGCCGCAGCTGGAGTACTGCGTCCAGTTCTGGGCGCCGCACTTTAAGAGGGATGTGGACAGCATGGAGAGGGTCCAGAGGAGGGCCACTCGTATGATCAAGGGACAGCAGGGTAGGTCCTATGAGGAAAGGTTGCGGGACCTGAACCTGTTCAGCCTTCAAAAGAGAAGGCTGAGGGGGGATCTTGTGGCCTGTTATAAACTGGTTAGGGGGGATCAGCAGGCGCTGGGGGAGTCCCTGTTCCCCCGAGCGCCGCAAGGAGTGACCAGGAACAATGGTCACAAGCTGGCGGAGGGAAGGTTTAAGTTGGACATCAGGAGGCGCTACTTCACGGTCAGGGCGGCTAGGGTCTGGAACCAGCTTCCAAGTGAGGTGGTGCAGGCTCCCACCCTGGGGGTTTTTAAGAGGAGGTTGGATGACCACCTTACTGGGGTTGTTTGACCCCAGTACTCTTTCCTGCCATGGCAGGGGGTTGGACTAGATGATCTGCTCAGGTCCCTTCCGACCCTAGAAACTATGAAACTAAGATCAGAAACCTGTTGTCCAATTCCAATGCAGAACCTCCATTCTGCCTTCCCCTTTGATAGATCTACTAAAAGATGCATTCTCTACGTCTTGTCCAAAATGGTTGCACTCAGTGTGGTACCAACCAGCTATTGCAGTCCACCTACAGATGGCTGCATTTAAGTACTAAGGGATGTCTTTCTTGTATTCTCTAATCTAATAGACAGGGAAGTTAAAAATTAACATTTGCAAAGCACTTAAGTAGTACTTTTCTACAGTGGCTCTGAAGTGTTAATTACCTAATCCTTTTTAAAATCTTAGTTTGCTGTTTGCCTGAATGCCACAAGGTTCCAGAGAATAAGCTGCATTCTAGGTTGCCTGACGCATCAGTAAGTTTTCTACATAAGCACCAACTCCAGAATCTTTATTGTTGACATACAAAGCAGAAACAACAGCTTTCTGGACAGCAGATTAAGTCTGTAGTGCTAGCAGTTTGGACAAAGATTTCTAACCTAAACCAGCATTGGAGATAGAGGTCACCAAGTAAAAACAAAAAGGGAACAGCTAACAGCTTAAGAATCATTTTTCTAAATCACTTTTCTAGCAGTAAAACTACTGACATGTGACAATCTTAGGCATGAAAGGCAAGTGACCTTTAGGTGCTGCCTTCTGAGTCACAGCTCACTAGCACAGTCAGAAAAGTGCTATCAGAAAAAAAATCATTAGACACCAGTGACTGTACTACTTTGACAACCAGGGATCACCTTAACCTCTAGTTATGAGCCTCTCTTGGCCTCCATTTCCAAGCATTCAAGCTTTATATTCACTTCTAGTGTGTTATTACCAGTGTTCATTAAATTTATTCCATCTCACATAAGCCAGACAAGGAAAATGCCACCTTAGTCCTTAGTAAGTAGGAACCTTTGTTATACAGCCCTGGAGAAATGAGCAAAGACAGACCGGGATATACTGCAAGTGTGACAGAGCAGCTTCTGCAGCTTAGTCTTCATTGGGACTATCTGCACTGCTATAAGATATCAAATTAAGACAACCAGGTTAAGGTTCCCCTTTCTATTAACATACTCAAGCTACATTAGAAGAGCTTATATGGAACCAAGTTTTCTTAGTACAGATAAGTCTGAGTCCATCCCTGCAGACCAGCAGAAAAGCTCCACATGGAAGCAGGAAAAGCTCTAGCATATTGAGCTGGGAACACTTTTGCTGATCCTACTCAGTTCTTCTGGTCAATTAACAAGAGGCTGGGGAGTTGGGTACATTCTAAGAATAAAGAAAGAATAAAAAGGTGGGAAGAAGATAAAGCCAATCTATCTCTACAGAAGCCTGCATGGTGACTTCCAGGGGTTCGCAGGTAAGATCAACAGGATTCCAAAAAGAAACAAAGGCACACAGTGTAGCTTATTATTCAGTGACTGAGCTTCTTGTTTTAAAATTTAGCCAGGGAACACAATCTGCCCAGAATATCAGGACTGTAACATGATTACCGTTTCAACTGGCTAAGTCACAAGAGAGGTTTGCACAGTACTGTGAACAACATTAAATTTGCAACTTGAATAAAACAAAGGCTATGAGGACAGTAAGTTACAATGCCCAGTAAAAGCTGCAACCACTTCTGCAGTATGTTTGAAAAGGAGTGGACTTTTGACCAATTACTAGAAGGTTAAATACGGCCAGAAAAAGCTTACCCAAATTGTGGAGTTGTCAGCACTTCACCTCTCTCTTCTTTCTCTCTCTGCAATACTTTCTTCTTTTCAATGTTTGCTACTGTAGGAAAGTTTCTAGAGAAAAAGACAAAAAGTGTAAATGTTTAGTTTGCACCTGTCATAATCCATACCTGCACCATACACACCACATGAATGCAGTTTAATCTTTTGTGTCTGTGAAACACCTTTTAGACAAGTTTAAGTCAGACTGTTCGCTCATCATACCAGGACTGGAAAGGGAGAGGGAGGAAATACACCCACCTGTATATATACAGGTACAGAGGGTACACTGAAGTGCAATGGCTTTATTAGACAATCTAATGACCTCACAAACTAAAAAGACACAAACATCCCAAAACAATAACATCTACAGATTCCACCAGGCCATTACATAACATGACGAGCTTATGCCACAACCATTAATAGTTCTTCAACCAAAACATTCAACTGTCACAGGCATACTGTGTGTTTATCAAGATAACCCCATCTTCATGTGAAAGATTTTCTGCTCATTCAGGCTGGATTTTGCTACACAAAAAACATAGTTCACCAGGAGAACCTCTGGACACACAGGACTCCTTTATGACAACAGGTAAGGAAAGCACACGTTTCCTTTCAAGCAATATTCAGTATTGTGCTTGCACACTGACCTCAGTTTCACCAGTATTCCTGTCCTCTTTAGCAATTTTTCTTGAAACTGGAATAAGTCATGCAGACCAAAACATATCCACTGTTATAATTGTTTCACAAGCTATTTCTTTGCATCACCCCAGACTCTGTTCTTCCTTAAGGAAAATGGTACACTAGTTCTAACATGCAAAGTCTGATGTGAATCATTGCAAGAGATCTTACAAATGGCTCTTCTATTCACCCATCAGACCTTACTCTTTCAGTAGAGACCCCACCACTTTGTAAAGCACTTTGAGATACCAAGAAAAAAAGGATATAGAAGAACACTGGTTTTATTCTGTTCTTAAGGAATGTAATACCAGTTATTAATAATTAATGTCTGTTAAAAAAGGAGCAGCATCAGCCTAGAGCGGCTACACATGCACAGTTATCAAAAAACATAAAAAGAGCCAGCTTTTTGTGCTAAATATTTCATCTTCTCACACATCCTCCTCTATTTTGTAGCAGCAAAAGTACATGTCAGCAGAACAAGCTGAAGCAAGACAGCTGCCAAGAAAGGAGGCGAGGTGAAAAAGAACAACAGAAATTTTTACAAAGCTCATTCCTTCTAAGGTAAGGTTTTTAATGGGGCTGGTAAGTTTTTGCAAGTCATGCTTAGATATACTTTTATTGTATTTCTTCCAGAGGTCCTAATGTTTATCACATTCTATACCTTCCATGGGAGTTATTCCTGCCGTTGCTTTAATCAAAAGCAATGGCAACTAAATCCCAGCAAAAAAGCAACTGTTATGCATCTTCCAGTTTGCCATTTCTGATTTCTTATCACTGCCTAAACTGATGTGCATCTAGTGCATCCATGCCACTATCTTTCCAATAGCTATATATCAGATAATGTCTATCAGTTGTGCTATTTACCACCATTCAAGGAAGTAAATGTATTCATGCAACAGAAAAGCTGGCTTTTGCTAACTTGAACCAGATGCCTATGATGAAGAAAGGTAGCATCTGTTGAATAAACTTAACCAGCATTGACCAGGCCAACATGTGGACTTGACAATGTTGCTCCATCCCAGTGGTTCTTACCCAGATTGCCACAACACCCTGGGGTGTTCAGTCTTTCCTCATAAGTCGTATCCCCCAGCCCCTCACCATTTTTGTTGCCCTCTGCTGGACTCTCTCCAATTTGTCCACTTCCTTTTGGTAGTGGGGGGCCCAAAGCTGAACACAGTACTCCAGATGTGGCCTCACCAGTGCTGAATAGTAGGGAATAATCACTTCCTTTTGACTACTGGCAACACTTCTACCAATGCAACCCAGTATGCTGTTAGTCTTCTTGGCAACAAAGGCACACTGCTGGCTCATATTCAGTTTCTTCTCCACTGTAACCTCCACGTCCTTTTCTGCAGGGCAGCTTGTACCGATGCATGGAATTGCTCCATCCTAAGTGCAGGACTTTGTACTTGTTGGCCCAGTCCTCCAATTTGTCTAGGTCACTCTGAATCCTAGCCCTACCCCTTTACTACAGAACCATGCACTAAATCTTTTAGCCAGCAGAATGTATTCAATAAATGCTCAGATGAATGAAGCTTCTACAAAGACTACATCAACATATGGAAGAGACGTACCAAAGTAAGGGAAAGGCAAAACAAATGAGTTCAGGAGGAGATAGTTAAAGGAGGCAAATTCAATAACCTATCCAGGCATAAAAAGTCAATGTAAAGCACAGGCATAAGGATTCCATTTTTACACTAAGGTTGTCTGGCTGCAATTACCTCAATAACTTGCAGTGCAATAGCTGAAGATAGGGTAGTCAGATTCACCATGTACAAACAGGATACAGATTTCTGTGGGAAGGAGCTCTTTTCATACAAAGAAATACAGGAACTGTGCCTTATGTGATAATTAGTGTGGAATGTCAACAAGTATGTGTCTGGTCAACAGTTCTCATTATATTCCTTCTCACTATCTGCAAGACTAAAAAGCAAGAGACTAGCCTACTTGCCAAGGAACAGGAGGGGGCAGGACCACGTCAGTTTTGGTGATAAAGTGAATCTACACAGTTCATGAATGGCTACTTGCATCATCTGTTAATATACTAGGGCAATGAGGAACTGGGAACCATCTCACTATACTGCCTAATTTTAAAGTTTCTCCGGACAGGAAGGGACTCACAGGTTACTTGAGAATTATCAGCTCTTTACACTAAATACAAAGGCCACAGACACTACAGCAATTCAAAGTGACATTGCGAGGATAAAGAACTGTTTCTGGGCAAACAGAAACCAAGGGCATTTTTACACATGCAAGCACCATAGCACTAGGCACTTTGAAAAGCACTGGGCACTGTGACGTTTGCAGTTGTCCAAGCAGCAAAATGCACCGAGCTGAGAAAATGGCAGCGATGCATTTTTGAACTAAAACACATTGGCAATGCTTTAGTTCAAAAGTGCACTGCCGCCATTTTCTGCGTGCTGATACACATTTCGCTGCTTATACAACGGCACAGCACAGTTTGCCTCAGTTCGCGTTCAGAGCAGACTTGATTAATTGAGTCTGCTCCGAAGCAGCGGATCTCTGGTGTGTCACAGGACAAAAAAGTATACGTATAAATGCCCCAAGATGTTAATTTCCCCAGTGCAGGTGCCTATATATTCCTGGAATAGGTGCATTTTTACTCCTGAATTTTTAGGATACATTCAAAAGAGCAACTATTTTAAAAAAAGTAGTTATGACCTTGGGAAATAACCAGAGTGCTAAAGTAGTAAGTAACAGAAGAACTAAAACAGCAATTAAAGCCTGAGCACAGAGCTAAATGCATTAAAATGCCACCGCTTGCTTAGGATCTGACCGTTCATGACCTGAAAAAAAAAACAAATAAAAACTAGCTCCCTTAATTGCAAGAGAAACTTCAGACAGTAAATACACGCCCCCTTCAAACACCACAACCTAAACAACACAGCAGCTCAGGCTCCCTCTGGAATCCTTTTTTTGCTACAATGCAAAGTTTACTGAAGCTTTGTTGCTGAGTCACATTACTAAATTGTTACTTTGCTGAAGGCTCAATTTATTGCTTCACAAAAACTATATTTTAAAGGAATCTGTACGAAAGTCCTTACTTCAAAAAAACCCCCAAACCAACCGAAGTCACCTAGGCAATCATTCTGCACCCATCTATTATAACTAAACAAGATGTCCACACAGGCAGTAAAAGCACCAAAATGAACTACAGAACCACACCACCTAGTGGACTTAGCTTTAGAGGATTCTGTTAGATTCTGCTAATTCTACAACTTCATTAATCCTTTTGATTTTTATTGGTCAAAAGGTTCATTTCCATATATTTTAGTATGATGATTCATACAGGAATTTTGCAGGAACTCAGATGTAATAGGCCTTAAAACATAGGTCAAAGCAACGAGCGGAATGAAAATAAATTAATTGCTTGAAGAATTCAAGCAATAAAATCTTTCATCAGGAAGATTTTTCTAAGAAAGCACTGTAAACACTTCTGTCCGACTAAAATTCAAAAAGTGTCACTCAGATTAACATACATATATACATGTGCATGTGTGTTCACATCTCTAGGATTTCTTCAATGAACAATCCAACATTGAGGACATGAAAACTAAGTGCATAGTTAACAGTCTCTGGGTTTCATCTATACCTCAGCAGAGAAGAGGTCTGGAATGTAGTAACTGCTCTATTAGCTCAAATCAGAGTTCAATCCAAGACTAGTACCCTGCTACCAGCCAGGGGCAGTTCTAGGTGTTTTAGAGTCAAGTCTTCAATCTCACTGAAGGAGGAAGTGCAATTAATCTGCTCCAGCATTAGGGTCTCATTTAATCTCTAGCAAGAGGTAGATTTTTACTCATTTTTTGAATACAGAAAGCAAAACCCCAAAAAGTAAATGAGTAGAGCTATAGATACTTAATGTTTCTATTGCATTAGTGTCTAAGAGCCAAGCAAAGGATAAGCCACATAGTGCTTAGAACTGTAGGAACATGAACTATGCAACAGTCCTCAAAGAACTTAAAAATTTAAAAGTATTGCCTTCTTAACTTAAAATCTAAAAACATGCCTCAAAGAACTTAAAAAATCTAAAAGTAATTTTAGAAGGCTTCTTCCATCTTTAGAAGCTACAGAGAAAAAAATATTAATTTTGAGACTATAATGTATATTATTGTCCTTTAACTTCATTCTTATCGAAATAGCATCTTTGAGCATGTATATGCGCAAACAGTGAACACATCCAACCCTCATCCCTCTCCCAAATCCCAGTAAGGCCTCACCAATTGCTCTTCCATGGAGAAGGCTCAAATGTTAGTTCTCATAATACACTGGTTTTAAAATACAAAGTCAAGTGTAAGAAGTAGACTGGTATAGTTCTACTGTGTTATTTAGAATGATTAAATACATTTATGGTGGCATTTCTCTGTTTAGTCACA